ATTATAGTTTAGTATGTTTAAGGTAGATAAATACCATTTACCAATAATAGTTAAGTTTGCACAATAGGTAAGTCGAAAAATATTTATCATAATCGAAGGTAGAGGCGCTGAAAATACGTTTTATCTATGACTCGTGTTACGTGATATTATTAGAGTAGGTACAGTTGTGATCGTTAAATGATTTAAAAGTTTTACTATTATTTAGCTAAATATGTAACGCGAATCTATATACGGAGGTGAATAATCATTTATCGATATCTCAAGAAATTTCAGATTATTTCGGCGCCTCTAAATTGTCTCTTAATACTTACCTAGGTACGACCTAATACTCGTATTAGATACATAGTAATAATTTTTATACGTATATCCGCGTAGGTAGAACATACTGGTTTTTTTTTTTTTTTTTGAACAATTTATAATATGTTTATACAATGTACGATAAAAAAATATGAGATTATAAACGATGATGTTTGGGAGAAAAAATAAATTTACCGACGACACGCTGTGAGGCGAAAGTTCGGCGATAAAATCAAAAAATATCTATTGAATTTCGTAGTTAACCCAGTGTCCGATGACCAGCGGAAGGGGTCGGACGCGGAGTACACGGAAGCGGACGAGTGAGTGGCGGACGGCGGTAACCGTAGCTGGTCGACCGCAACAGTTCTCCAGAGCAAGAACAATAACGCCAGACACGCGACCAACGACGGAGTTCCGGACCGGCGGTCGGATCCGTTGGACACGTTGCACAGCGGCGACTCGCAACACGCCTGGCACGCGTAGATCTTGATCCGTTCGCCGATCACGATGCACCCGTCTTCGCATTTGCCCGAGCAGTTGCGTTCCAGTGACCAGAGCTGTTGACCGGAAGTGGTGCTTTCGTTGCTCGTCGTGTACGAGTACCGCTTCACCTGTGAACAACGCGTGGCCGTGGCCACGTTACTTTAATCGTCAAGTCACACTGGCTTAGGTGCAGGCTATACCGTATCCTATACTATATGCTTAATGTTTATATTTTACCTATGCCTAAAACCCCGCCGAACTTAACTACTACGATCATTTTTTTTTTTTTTTTGTGGGCAGGTTATATCAGTCATATACCTAGATATATTTATTTTTTTTAAAGAAAAATACTCATTGAATTTGAAGCACCGCCTACTTAATAAATATTATAATAGGCTATATTTGTGAGAAAAAGTATCTAGTAATTTTAATTTTCGAGTGTTGAATGTATATTGATTTTACAACGATTTTTAACTTTTTTGTCATGCGTCTAAAGACAGTTTTTTTTTCTATAGCAACAAAAATGCTGTTGTCTTCAACGAGTTCAACGTAGAGTGAGGTTTCTGGTACAGATAATAAATATGATAGTAATGTAGTTGTTACATTTAGATGGTCTGCAAAATTGGAAACGCTCAGTAGTAGGTGCTATTTAAAAAAAATCGAAAAAACTACACAAAACGATTTTATTTTAATTAATATTTAATCAATTTACGTTTATACTTTATTCATTATTGGTTCTGAAAAATTAATTATTACAATATTAAAATATTAATAATACATAAATGGCTAATAAAAAAAAAAATTGAACCAGCTACATCTTAACATCTAACAACCATACTAATGATGATATGCCTGTAGAGCATACTAGCGTCGTTGAAAGTAATATTAAAAATAAAATGAATGATTGTTTTAAAAAAGTTAGAGAAAAGAAAGAGGCCCCCTCGGTAACTCCAATTTGAATATAAAGTGTGTAATACGAAAAAATATATATTTTAGTCTCTGATTAAATGGACATAATATGTTATAATATGTAATAATAAATAATAATATTTATCAATATCACATATCATAAATATATATTTGAAAATAATTAAAAATGTTTAAAATACATATTATAATTTATTTCTTAATAAAAAAATAATCAATTATAATTTAGCTGAAATTATTTTTAGAAATATCTAAAATTCTAAAAATTGTATTTATTTTTTGAAAATGTAGGTACCTAATATAAATTATAAAAACGAACAAATAACATTGTAGTGTTTCATTTATATTTTGTTATTCTTTTCGCTCATCTTAAATGATCTCAATTATAATAGTGTAGGTACCATGTTAAAATTAAACCTATAATACCACTATGACAGAGGAACGTTTAGGCAATTTGTTACATGTATATGTATAATATATGTTGAGACATACTATGGTAAAAATATCGACATCGATAAAGTAATCAAATATATTTAAAAAACGGTTTCATATGATATAGTCGTTTAGTTTTATAAGTATTCTTTAATATTTAAAAAAAATATATTCTTAATTTAAATAATATAAAATTCATTGATTATATCACTTTAAAAAAGTATATTTTGTTGTTTGAATTTTAGTATAATTTTAGATTCTGAACAGAGTGATGAATGTATTGATTTTACAATGATGTGTGTGTTTATTTTTTTTTTTTGTGTGTCTGTGTACAGCATAAGTATTCGAAATAATGCTTCAATTTTAAACTTCGGGGGTGGTTTCCGATAGCAAAGTAAATATTCTTGATGCATTATAGAGGTAAAAAGTAAACGTTTTCTAACAGTATTTAAAAAATATGAGAAAAACAAAAAAAAAAATGACAGAAAAACAGGAATTTTTACGCAAAACCAGTTTTCGACCAAATCGATTTTTTTGTATGGTTGTAATTTAAAAATTAATCACTGTAAATACTTGAAATTTTCACCAAATGTTTATGTTAGTGTTATCTATATACAGTTTAATTTTCAAAAAATTTTGACTTTTTTTGAATTATTTATAGACCACTGAAATTATCGATTTTTATGAGAATTTTTTTTTGAAGTGTCGATAACAATTTTTTGGCCCAATCAAAATATTTGAAAATTTAATACAAAGTTCCTCATAAGTCATTCTTATAGTGATCAAAAAATTTTAAGAATACATAGGCAAAATTTTTTTTTTATCAGCATTTGAAGTTCAAATATTGACAAAAATTTGTCAAAACCATAAATATTTGCAAACTATTTTGTAGGTATAATTCATAAAAATTAATAATTAATTGATTAACTATGACTTTTGCAAATGCGTCCTAATTGAAAAATAAAATATTTGTTTCAAAATAGAATGTATGACAATATTTAAATATAATATATCCTAGACTGACAAATCATTTCCGTTCAGAATCGTTTTTTGTATACAATGATACCTATCATTGCATTCAAATTTAACCTACCCTAGTCCGAGGTTCACCCCACCCCCTAATGTACAGCAGAGCGGTATCCACTTGCCCGCTTTTTAAATATAAAAATATAGAATGCTATACAAATATAACAGCACGTAAGTGGTAAGAAATATTATGATGAATTAATCAAGAAAATTTGAATTTGGACTTAAAATAAAAAAAAAAAATTGAACTGTTAGTACGCATAGGTTAGGTATACATATATATTATTATTTTTAATTTTAAACAAACAAAAAACATAGGTATACTTAACACAAATATACAAAAATGTATTTAAAAAAAAAAATAAAAATAATATCAAAAATGTTCACCCTCTCCTCCCATAGTTTATAAGTACATATTTGAATTAATCAGGAAAAGTGGCCCAGTCTAAAAATAAGATATATTGAACAGCTTTAATTTTTTTTAAGTACCGTCCACGATTCATTTTTTTTTTCAAACGTTTGACATTAGATCTAGTTGTTAACAAAAGTATTCGTTTATTATCAAAGGATACGTCTTTTGCAGTTTTGCTAGGAAATTTGTCTATTAATAATGGGTAATAGTACATCTATATTGTCAATGAAGGTTGGTGGAATAGGTAGGTATATCTTTTCTGCATATACTCTTTTTGAAATTTAATGAAAAGCATGATTATTCGGTAACGATGGTTGAGTTATACAAGGAACAGCGTTGATTTCAACATGTATCATTTGTGCAGGCGTATCATTAGTCTCACAAGCCTTTCGTTTCATACTATGAACAGTTATGGTTATTCTTTTTTGTATTTCGTAAGTTATGCTGTCCATTAATAAGAATAGTACAAGTATAACCACCACAATAGAGAGTTTTTATCTTTTCGCAACACCAATAACATAAATCATCTCTATTTTTGTCCTTCGTCACTATGTAACCATTATTGATAACAAGTTTTATATTACCTCTATTTGATAAAACAATTGCACAAATTTTTGCCATCTTCCGATTTATTAAAAAACAATTAAAACATTTAAAACGGAATAAAATAAATCAAAATAATAATATTTTTAATAGAATATTTTGTACTTTATTTGTACTTTAACTGTACGGGTACTGAATTATTAAACGTCGTGTCAAAAACTTATGGTCAATACGGTCGTTTATACATTTCTATTATTTGTCTATCGCCTATCTGTTTATTTAGGAATGAAAATCTTATCGCAAATAGCAGTTTAGTTCGTGACCGACAATGTAATAACATTTTATTTATCTATTTTATTACTTTATAATATGTAGAATTTTACTTAATATTTAGTACCTTTTCACAAAAAACGATATAATCGATGTTAAAATATTCGTCTGATTATGATTTTTTTTTTTAATTATTGTATATTAGTAGATATTACGTGTTAATAAATAATAATAATAAAATACAGTAGTAGAATCTCAGTAATCCGACACTTATAAGACTACACTACTGTCGAATTAATGAAAATGCCGGATTAATGGAAAGGGGAGTCACATAAAAACGCATTTTTACTTATTGAATTTTACATTTACTCATATTAAAAAATGAATAATCTTATTGTATTTTATTATAACATACATGCTGTACAATTAATATTTTTATGGGACAGGTTTTAAAAAATATAAATAAATAGGTATAATACAAATATTATATATAAATAATACATACAATATGCTGTGTCAGTTAATATTTTGATAGGACAGGTTTTAAAAAATATAAATATAATACAAACATAAATCATACATACAATTTGTTGTGTCAGTTAATATTTTAATTGGACAGGTTTTAAAAAATAATTAAGTTTTGTTTATTTTTTTGTTTGAAGTGATGCTTTTAATACTTTTTCTTGTAGTCGTTGAAGCACCAAAATATCACATGCATCTACTCCGTTCTCTTCTGCCCATGTAATGGACGTAGTAAAGGAATTTATTGCAGTGGAGTGACTTATAGTTTGAACAGCTACTTCTTCTTCTTTATCATCATAATTTCCATCATTATCCCTTTCTTTGGCCATCACTTCCTCGATTATATCATCATTTGTCAAGAACTGGTTTTTTTCTTCTTCCTCGCCGTCAATCCATTTCCTTATATCGTCTGCTTTTAGTTCGTCTGTTGTGCCCACGAGTTTTTCTGCAATCGAAACTTGTAGCTGATTTAACTCAGTACTAAAATTATCTTCATTATCTTTTAGATTGAGAACAGTGTTATTTTCGTATTGTTCAAATAAACACATGTTTGGCCACAAATTTTTCCACGAACAAACAATCATCTTTTTGCTTACATTTGACCAAGCATTCGCAAGAGAAAATACTACATCCTTCAAATTAATTTCTTTTAAAGATTTAATCACACAGTCATCTTTAGACAAGACTTTGTACAACAGACTCTTTTTATAGTGCATTTTAACTGCTTGAATAACATTTTGGTCCATTGACTGAAGAATTGATGTAACATTAGGTGGTAGAAACATAACACGGATAAAACTGTGATTTAAATCATCAATAGGATGATCAGGGCAATTTTCTACAATAAGCAAGGCATTTTTAGATAAGTTTTGTTTTTTGTTAAATTTTTCCACTGAAGGTACGAATGTTTCATGAAACCATTCGACAAAAATAGACTTGGTCATCCATGCTTTGTTTTGATTTTTGTAATCAACAGGAAGACTTACATTTTTAAAAGCTCTAGGATTTTTTGCCTTGCCGACAACTAATAAGTTTAATTTATGAGTTCCGCTTGCATTTGAACAAGGCATAAAAGTTATTCTGTCTTTGATTATTTTTCGTCCTGGAGCATTCAATTCTTCATGGTGAACAAATGTTTTTTTCGGTAAAAGGTGCAAAAGAAAACCACTTTCGTCTGCGATGTAAACTTGATCAGGCGTTAATGATAGTTCTTGAATAACTTTTTGAAATTTTTCTTTGTAAGGTTCAACACTGTTAACATCACATGACAGTTTTTCTCCTGTCATACACAATAATCTCAGACCAAAACGATTTTTAAATTTATCTAGCCAACCGTCACTAGCTTGAAAATCATTTTTGTGTGTGATTTTTTTATAAAAATACTTAGCTTTCTCTTTCAAAATTTCGCCAGAAATAGGTGTTTGTCGATTACGTTCTTGCAGAAACCATAAATACAAGGCATCTTCGATTTCAGGAAACTCACCAGTTTTTAATGTTTTACGCATACTTTTCAAACTTTTGTTATTTTTGAAAAAAGATTTTATTTTTTCGCTATTTTTTCTTATATCATATATTGTAGTACGGCCTACTCCAAATTCGTTAGCAAGGTTTAATAATTTGTCACCATTTTCTAATTTATTTAAAATTTCTAGTTTCTCAACTAAAGTTAAAGTAATATGTTTTCTTTTTCGTTGTTGCGACATTTTATTACATACCTAATACAACACAATATTTAACCGATACATAATGAACATACACAACACTTCAACGTTAACTGAATAAAAACAAAATATCTAATAGGTTTGTTCGAATTTAATCTGCTGTCACTTAGTTTTATCTGACGGTTTATCGTTTACAATAGTAAATTTATAAATAAATATATATTGATACGTATAGGTCAATACAGCCGGATTACTGGACGTATCGGATTATCAAATGGCCGGATTACCGAGATTTCTACTGTAATAATAAAATATAATTGTATATTAGTATTATACACAGTAAAAATATGCGAAATGTAGTGTCGGGCAACCATATCAGACACATACCGGTTTATGTGGCATACATAACGTGAATATGACTAATTTTATAGACCTGATTTCGAATAAATTTTCGTGTATCTTAGTTTAACATATTTATTTAATTCAGAGCTTAGTATAATATTCCAAAACGTTATTGACACAATGTAGAAGTCTCCAACTAAATTTAGAATACATCAAAAAATATGTTTGTTTTAAGACCTATTATTCTTATATTATATCATGAACCTGTATCTATAGACCAGTTGTGGGTTTCCACCCCCCCCCCCCAAAAAAAAAAAAGCATTTACTTTAAAAAAAATCAATTACAAAATGTATTAAAAATTAAATAGTTTGTATATTGTATATTTTAACTAGTTTGTATTAAAAAGAAAACTGTGGAGTGACGTACAATTGAATCTATAGAGGTATCTACGCATTATGAACATATTTTAATCTATACTTACTAGTATGGGTACTTTTATAAACGTTAAATTGACCGTACCAAATACCAAATTTTATAGTATAATTTGTGATTCTGCAATAGTTTAATTTGATTTCTTAAACAATAAATTAATAAAGAGTATTTTATACTAATTTATATAATTATTTCTCTATTATATTATGATACCCCTAAAAAAAAAAAAATAATAAGTTTATAAATACGAGTACGCCACTGCTATAGGTATTTGGCAGAACTGCATTATTTCGGTTTTCTCATTAACGTGAAATGCACATTATTTTACTTGATAAATATAATCTAGGCTAAATTGAGGCTCAAACTAAATAATTAAATATATATGTATATATATATATATAATCTTTGGTTTTTTTTTTAATCATAATCTACTATACATTTTATAGTTATTATTAGGGCTAGGATTTTAATGACCTAAAAAACCTAAAAAATGACCTAATAAAAACTAAAAAATGACTCAATAAGAAAAAATAACCTCATAAAATGATCGAAAAAAATATAATTATATTAATAAATTAATAAATAATAACTAAATAAGTAAAAATCAATATCATACGTATAATGAATAGGTATTAGTACGTTAAATTTAATAATAAATTGATGAAGATAACACATAATCGAACATTATTATCGATTATTGCTCTGTTAATCTAACGAGTATATTTTATATTATACATAAAAACGATTGGTATTTTGAAGTATTAAATATTTAAAAAAAATATGTTTATGATTTTATTTTAATGTTGTATCTTTATATGTTTGTACAATAATTTATAACGATCAATAACGACCATTTAAAATTTAAAAAAATTAAAAATTAATAAAAATATAACCCAAATTTCAATAAAGTATAAAAAAATGACCGTAAAATTGAAAAAATGACCCTAAATTCAAAAAAAGTACAAAAAATGCAAAAATATGCAAAATAAAAACTATATATTTGAACTCATAGATGACCAAATCACATTTTGTGCTTGAAAAGCTATATCCTGTAAATCCTAAAAAAAAATGCAAAATCCTATACTATCCTAGCCCTAGTTATTATTATTGAGTTTAACCTAACAATAACACATAGAATATAATAATATATTATTATTGTAAGCGTTTTACAGTAATTTTAATCTTTATTATCATGTGTGAGTAGTCGTTCTAGCAGTTAAATGTATATAATCTAATAGGTTTAACTTTTATTTTTTTGAAGTTTATTTAAATAATTTATAGTTTATATATTAAAAAATAATTATAATTAATGTATAAAAGAATGAGATTTATTTATCATCGCATGCTAACATTGCTAACTCGTCCTATATAGGATAATTAATTTAACCTAAAACACTCATTATTTTAGAAAACATTAATATATTTGAAGAAAAAAATTAATTTTTATCGATATAATTTTTAAATTTTAAATTTTTTGAATAAAACATATTTAACACACCCATTACAGTGACCCACTGATACCTAATATACAGCATAGCGGTACCATTTCGTCTACATTTCACAAATTACTATTATAGTTAACATGAAACGCATAAAGCAATTAACCTTGCATAACCTTTTTTGTTATTAAATTTATTAAATTAATCTAATTTTAAAGTCATTATTAAGAAAAGTAATAAAAATTACTTATACACGATAAAGTGATAATTTTATTATGTAGTTCAAACTTCGAATAAATCAAATATACAGTAGAATCCGTTTAAGACGCTTTCGCATAATACGATTTCCTACGTAATAAGCTCATTTTCACGAGTCCCTTGATTTTGATAGCGGTTAACATGTAAATGACTCCGGATAAGACGTTCTATGTCAATGATGTTATGAAATATAAAATTAATAATTATAATAATGTACAATATGATTATTGATTCAATAAAGCACCACAACTTAGTATACATTATGATATATACATATCATACAATTAAGATAAGCTTTTAATATACACTACTAATCACTTGTTATCTCCTCGCAATATAATGTACTTGATTGTATACACGAACTAAGAAGATTAATTGCATCTTTTGACAATACAGATGAAATACTACAAAATCTTAATAAAATTGAAAACTTCCTCTACTGAAAAAATATTAAAAATGCAAAATTTTTTTAAAGTAAAATAAAATATGTATATAAATGTAAACTAGATAATATGTAATTTGAATTAATAAAAATAAAATTTAGCAATAAGTATGTATGTATTAGACATTATTATACTATACTTGTAATAATAATACAATATTGTAAATGCAATTATAATAAAAAAATTCCAAATTGTATGTACAATTTTTATTCATCTATTTTCTGGTTTTCCCGCGTAATATGATTTCTCGTTTAATACGTTATTTTTACCTGGTCCCATGGAAAGCGTCTTAAACGGATTCTACTGTACTTTCTTTATCATAGTATAATAATATAGGTATACACCTAGCATGTCAAACCCAAAGTATCAAGTGGACAAAATATATTGAATAGTTTACTATGCGGACCGCACATAAAAGTTTAACAAAAATAAATAAATATTTTATGCAAATTTTTCAATTTAATTCTTTACGTTTACGAACACAGCAGATACAACTAAATTAAAAAAGGTTAACTTATCAGAAGATAAGACAGTATAATAAATGTATACCAAATAAATCATTCTCTAAGAGTCCAAGATAGTTGTGACACGGCGTTAATATTTTTTGTTCAATTATATTGGTAACCGCGAATCACAAAAAATGAGCTGAGGGACCCGCGTGTTTGACATGCCTGGTGGCTGGTATACACTATACATTATATAATAACATAATTTATGTATACGAAATAACCTGTTGAACATATTAACGTAAGACAATTATACGTAGGCAATTTATTACAGAAAATGCAAATGTTTTTGAATATATTTGCTGCCATTATGTTACACTAAACCAGTGGTTCCCAACCTCTCCTATTATACGCCCCCCTTTGTAGATTTTCGAAAATCTCGCGCCCCCTTCTATAAATTGTAAAAATTCGATCACCTTTTTTGGTGTACTTTACATATAAACTATCTATATTCTATATTCTATAATATATTCGAGATGACAACTTTTTTATTGATGATAATAATTATGAAATATAATAATAATAATAATGTTAATGTTGACAACACTTTTTATTTGACAGTTTTTTTATGTTCGGCTCAATATTTGATAGATTAATTTACAGATAACGTGACATAAAACGATTAAGTTACACACTGCGGCCAAACATTTATAGTCTTTATCGGTTATCCGTTATTGATACTCGATAACAGATAAAGATTTCCGGTCAAATATTTTTTTCTCTAAGTTTTAAAATAAAAATAATTTAATCAATAAAAATTGTACTTCGTAATAACTGCTTGCGCCACCCCAGCAATGTGTACACGCCCCACAGTTTGGAAACCAGTACACTAAACCTTTGAATTTAATTGTTTTAATTGTTTTTACACAACTCAGTGCCATAACCCAAACGTAATTTAATTTCATTCCAGTAATACTATGATTTAAAAAATTAGAAAGTAGTTTACCATGCATGTTTTTCTATCTCCTGTACATTTCGTGGAGAATCTCGAGTACTCGTCCTTGTCCGTGAAATTGCTACAGCTTTTCCCGTTCACCATTGTATTGCATTCATAACAAAACATTAGGTTTTCTTTTTCTAGAGCCGCGTTTGTCTGGTAGATTTTACCCGACCAGTCCACTACGACAAAATGAAATATTATTTTTAAAAAAAATTTACAAATTTTTAAATCTATTGAATATACTCTAATGCAATATATTTATAAAATATAAAACAGTAAAAATATATCCTTAGAAATATAGGCTGACTATTCGTCAGTCGCATTTGTTTATTTACAAATTGGGTGACCTCGACTGATAAAAAAAAAAAAAATAATAAGGATTTCAAAAAATTTGGCTTGCTTAAAAATGTTTTATTCAGTATCATCCTCCTTCTTCTCTGTTTATACAGCATTGCAGACCACTTCCACTCAAAATTATTCTACGTATACCTACCCATTACCTAATATCTACAATGTTTTATAATTTATTTTAAATTTAACACAACCATTTAAATCACCTCCTCACAATAACGAGGAACACTAATCACTATTGACAACTATATTTATAGCAGATCGATTTTCCAGTTTTTTTTTTTTTGTAATTTTTAAATTGCTTATAAGTTATGATACTCAATAATATTGTAAATTTTGAACGTTAAGCCTAAAAACATTTTTAGGACTGAGCTATAGATTTACTTTTACTTACTTAATGCAACACTTATTAGTTATTACAGGTATACCTAAGTTCGAATTAAGTGGAGATCTAAGGGCGTCATAGCCTCGAGCCAGGAAAGTTTTTTTCATGGGATTTCTAATTTTGTGCCACTTATTTATTATATTATAATTATTATTTATAAACTATTGTGAGTAAAATAAAATACCTAATACCTTTATTGTAATCTTTAATTTAAAAAAATATATTAAATTGTGAAATTAAAATACTTGATACCTAATTTTTAATTTCCGTCTCGGAATTTAATATTATTATTAGTGTATATAATATATAAGAAATTTATATAATATGGTATAACAATTTTCTTCATTAAAAGGTAGGAAAATTTTTAATTGAATAAGTTCTAATAAGTAATATAAAAATAAAAATATTATTATTGACAATTTTATAGGATAATTTTTTTTTATTCATACTTAAAAATGTTGGCCCCGGGTCCTCGAAAATCTTAATCCTGACTTGAGTATACCTATCTACACGTATATTATTATTTACGTAAAATATCACATTATCACACAGTTATTACCTTTGGATATCAATGATATTATTACATTCATAGTTATATTTTAATATTATATATACTCACCGCAGTGTGCCAATACGATGAAATTGTGAACGGCTAACAACAATTTCCAAGCCATATCATATGACGGCGTTTTTTCGTCTCCGAAGGTTAAGTTATTAACCACTCAACTATAATAATAAATATACAAATACTAGTTATTTTCTCGAGCAAAACGTATCGTATTACTCTCGTCCTCGGGCACAAGTTATGTACGTCACATTTATTGGTTATTGTATCGTTTGAGAGCACGACGAACTGTGTTGTTTAACGTTTTGACGACATCGGAAACTATTGTTTTTCACATGCTCACGCCGTTTAGCACCGTCGGTTAGCGAGAAAATCGATATCCATCCCTCGGCCTTTCACCGCCGGAGATCGCGTACGTCTCGACAGCCTTGCGCAGTAGAGGCAGTAGAGCGCGCGTACCGTTGTCGAAATAATATAAACCGCTATATCGGATTAAATAATAGCAAATGCCGACCGGCATTTCTCAGCCGAAAATTTTTTTCTGAAGCTTATCGTAATTGATTATAAATAACAGCAAAGTGTGGTTTTGTAGAAATTAAGTTGTAGACTTGTGTATAGGTATGTTACGACTCAACGACTTGCTGATAAATTTTGCACAAAGCTCCTCTTATATTTTTTTAGATTTTCGTCAGTTATTGCTTAACAAATTATAATAATTTAAATCTAATGGTGAATTTTTTTTTTTTTGTATATTTCTGTATACCTAATGGTTATTGCATATTTTTACATATTTTTTATAAAATTCAAAATGTATTGCATATTAAAGCGAAAAATTTTTATTTAGCATTTAAGTAATTAATGATTGTATAAGTTGTTTAATTTGTGAATTTTAAATAATTAAAAAAATAATGTTCTTGAATAATTATTGCATATTTTCATGATTTTTACTGCATGTTATATGAAATATTTTGATACTTTTTAGTATATAAAAATACGTGCTTTAGTTATTACAGAAAAATATCATTAAAATCCAAAAAAAAAAAAAATTGTCAATAAATTTTTTTAGTGATATGATGATCTATACCAATGTTTCTCAACCTGGAAGTCACGGCCCCCCTTAGGGGTCGCTAACTTATGATTTAAAATTCAAATACAAAAATACAAAAATTTAAAAACTCAAACAATAAAATAAAGTAATGAAAAAAATAAAATCAATAAATATAATATACTGCATTTTGTATAATGCTATTATAATAATTAATAATAATCTATGCGAGTATACGTATAAAAATATATATGTAGGGGGTCGCTAAAAAATCAAAATTCAAAAGGTGGTCGCCACAGTAAAAAGGTTGAGAAACGTTGATTTATACGAAACATATCGGTTGAGAACTACGATATTAACTATTAAGTAATGATTAGCATTAATATTTTTCGAATAGTTATCGTTACAACCTCGCAGATGTTTAAAAGCAATACTAGCACGAATTTAATAACATCCCAGGATTATTACCAAAACGTACAACATGTTGTTTAGTAATATTTGAATTCGAAATAACGATTAATTAAATTAAATAATTTAATTTAATTTAATCACCAACATAATAATTTAATATAATATTTAATTGAAATTCCACTCACATTTCGGATATGAACAAAAATAGTTTAGTTATTCAATAAGTGTATATACAAAACAATATTCGTTTGTAAAAACAACAAAGGCGTTAGTCATTGTATGTTAAAACCTCTGATCTTAGGTAAAGGGGGATAGGAAATCATAATTATTCATTTATGTATCAGGGAGTTCAAGGATAATACTAGCAGGTATAGTATAGCTGTTAAGTTCCAAACACTTACTATTTTAGGCAGACTCGGAGAGCCTATAGATAGTTAATTGCAGAAGATTACTTTTATCGTTGTTACTTGTTTATATAATTTAATATATTTTTATTAATAACGTTTTATCAATGGTATAACTTTATGAAATATATACGTGTATCCTGCAGATGATAAAAATGAAAATAATGTGTAATTACTATCATTATTTATTTAGACTAATAAATTGTAATGATTAATAATATCTATATGGCTATATATAAATATATATAATTATTTATGTGAGTATCAAATTAGACAATTTCCAATGCACGTACCTATATATTTTTATGGTATGGTTGTACATATTAAGTGTTTATTTTGATAGAAACTGTTGAATTAAGCATAAAATGGAAGCACATCTGAAATTGTAAGTATTGCAGTACTTAATTTTAAATTAAATCTTACATAATACTCCTTCATTTTTATTTGTAGATTTTACAAAGAGTGCTTACTACTTACTCAGAGGAATTATAGACCCGCAATATTGTAAAACATTATCAAAAAGCGACATAGTAATTGAACCCCTTCATATAACTCAAAACATGAAAATTGAATAAGATAAAAAAAAATACAGTTCATAATTTTAAGTTACGTATAAAATTATATTTTTAGATTTATTTATTTTAAAAGGAGAAATAATCCGCATATAAATACTTGTATATAGGTAAATACTTTTTCCTAGAATTTATTATTATTTACATTTGTTTTCATATTTATTAAGCCTTTTATGTAAATTCATTACAAAGTGAATTATTAATAGGATAGGTGAAAAATTAATGGTTAAACGTAAAAGACGAATTATAATTATAATTCATTTAATTCCGTTGTTTTTATTTGCTATAAATATATTATTATTATTATATTTTACTTTATTATAGAATAAATAGAATTATAAATTATAATATTTGAATTATTCTAGTTACATTGTACTTCAATTTTTACGATCTATATTTTGGTATGGTATACTCGTATATATTATAAGAGTCAGCAATGACTTAGATTAAAAGTTAGTGCATGCCGTGCGAAGATATGCGGAGCGTGGATATCAAGAAAATAATAGAGGGCATAACGTATTCAGACGAGTATTCACATAATAATGAATTGGGCAGTGCTCCTGAACGAGCAGCCGTCGACGAGCCTGCGATTAGAGGACGTGGCTTAACGTCTCCTGTTTGCGGATCGCTAAAACACTAAACTTTCGTTTCGCTTTGGGTGACACGTCTTTAGGATTAAGGAACAATGGAATATGTATTAACTATGCTGCTACTATACAAACATCATTTATGTAGTATAAACCAGCATTTATAATTTAAGTTCTTAGTCAGTAATTTTAGTTGGCTAAAAATAATAATTATTGTACCAACATATTAAACTATAGGTAAAGCAATGATATTTAAGAGAAAACTAAAGACGGGAAGGGGATTCTCGGCAGTAATCGAGTGATATGAAACTGGAAATGTTATATCTTGTAAAAAAAAAAAAAGATGAAGTGTCGAAATGATATAAAATGTGTACTACCACTGCTGCAGAACTAAACAGTAAATCATGTTTCTAACTTATATGTATATTGTATATACTACCTTATGGTTTGTTTTATTTAGTACAGGTAGGTAAACTATCGTGTATTCGTGTATTACAGAAGCTATTAACATTGTAACAAGATATATAAGTATACATAATAAAAGGACACGATAATATAATATTACATAGGTATAATATAGTCATTACTCATTAGTCATATGGATAAGTGTTTCCGTCACCCTCGCCAGCACGTGATCACCACGCCCGGTTTCTGACAAAGCTTATATTTCACCAAAATAAAATAATAAATTACTTTAAGTATTTTTCTAAAACACCTTATATCCTGTATTATTATCATTATTATATCATCAATATTTAACCACGATAACTTTTAGC